TTGTCGGCGTTGGCGTCCCTGTGGTTAAGTTTTTGCGTGCAAGCTGGAATCTCCATAACTACTGAAGGGAATGGATTGAAACTTCACACAATTGTTCTCTGTGATTATGTTACATGATTGGCACAAGTCCCATAACTCTGATTTGCTGTTTTGCATAATTATGCCCCTTTTTTCGACTTGAAATTCTTGGTTTAGTTTTTGCGTGCAAGCTGGTATCTCCATAACTACTGAAGGGAATGGCTTGAAACTTCACACACTTGTTCTCTGTGATTATCTAAGATGTTTGGCATAAGTCCAATAACTCTGATTTGCTTTTTTTTCATAATTATGCCCCTTTTTCGACTTAGAAATTCTTGGTTAAGTTTGCGTGCAAGCTGGTATCTCCATAACTACTGAAGGGAATGGCTTGAAACTTCACACGCTTGTTCTCTGTGATTATCTTACATGATTGGAATAAGTCCCATAACTCTGATTTGCTTTTTTGCATAATTATGCCCCTTTTTCGACTTAGAAATTCTTGGTGCAAGCTGGTATCTCCATAACTACTGACGGGAATGGCTTGAAACTACACACACTTGTTCTCTGTGATTATTTAACATGATTGGCACAAGTCCAATAACTTTTTTGCATAATTATGCCCCTTTCTCTACTTAGAAATTATTGGTTAAGCAAATATCTCTATAACTACTGAAGGGTTTGTGCCTTTTTTTGAACAATTTTATGCATTTTATAATAATAAAGCAGTGATTAACTCAATAAAACATCTTAATAACAAGCCTTTGTACATTTTCGGACAATTTTATGTATTCATATAGGTAAGCATTATTATACTCAATGAAACACACTTGTGACAACTTTTCGAATAGTCGAGCGTTACTGTCCTCCGCCAGTTCTTGTTGTTACATCTTTTGATTACCATAACATGGTGGTATACATATCGGTAACTTTTCTCTTGTCAAACATTGTCTTGTCAAATTTGTGAACTTGCGTGAAAATAAATCTAGAGAAGATTTTAAGCGTATGACGTCATAGTTTCTTCTCCATCTAATTATAGCTCTAAGTTTCTACAAAGGACTTTTCACTACTTAGTCGTAACCATCCATCCACATGCAGTGACTGCTGATGGTCCAATATGCATAAACAACTTAAGCAACTTTTAACCGATTTTAAACCAATTCAAACAATAGATTAGTTGTCTTGGGGTAATTTGACCGACCCAAGGTCAGGGCCTTTTCCAGCTATTTTGAGAAAATGCCCCTGCCACAAATTTGGCAAAATTATCTGGCAATTTGGGAAATTTGAGAAACTTTACAAACTGCCCTATACGCTATTTTTAAGGTTTTTAACATGTGTATGATCCTATAACCTGTCAATTCTTTAAAAGGTACATTATGCCTGAGAAGTAAAATTAAAAGGCACATTATACCTGAGAAGTAAAATTAAAAGGCACATTATGCCTGAGAAGTAAAATTAAAAGGCACATTATGCCTGAGAAGTAAAATTAAAAGGTACATTATGCCTGAGAAGTAAAATTAAAAGGCACATTATACCTGAGAAGTAAAATTAAAAGGCACATTATACCTGAGAAGTAAAATTAAAAGGCACATTATGCCTGAGAAGTAAAATTAAAAGGCACATTATACCTGAGAAGTAAAATTAAAAGGCACATTATGCCTGAGAAGTAAAATTAAAAGGCACATTATGCCTGAGAAGTAAAATTAAAAGGTACATTATGCCTGAGAAGTAAAATTAAAAGGCACATTATGCCTGAGAAGTAAAATTAAAAGGCACATTATACCTGAGAAGTAAAATTAAAAGGCACATTATGCCTGAGAAGTAAAATTAAAAGGTACATTATGCCTGAGAAGTAAAATTAAAAGGCACATTATGCCTGAGAAGTAAAATTAAAAGGCACATTATGCCTGAGAAGTAAAATTAAAGGCACATCATATGCCTGAGAAGTAAAATTAAAAGGCACATTATGCCTGAGAAGTAAAATTAAAAGGCACATTATGCCTGAGAAGTAAAATAAAAAGGCACATTATACCCGAGAAGTAAAATTAAAAGGCACATTATTCCTAAAAAGTAATATTAAAAAGGCATATTATGCCTGAGAAGAAAAATTAAAAGGCACATTATGCCTGAGATGTAAAATTAAAAGGCACATTATGCCTGAGAAGTAAAATTAAAAGGCACATTATGCCTGAGAAGTAAAATTAAAAGGCACATTATGCCTGAGAAGTCAAATTAAAAGGCACATCATGCTTGAGAAGTAAAATTAAAAGGCACATTATGCCTGAGAAGTCAAATTAAAAGGCACATTATGCCTGAGAAGTAAAATTAAAAGGCACATTATGCCTGAGAAGTAAAATTAAAAGGCACATTATGCCTGAGAAATGAATAAATTTTTACTTCTTAAGAAAGGGCAAACATGAATTTTATAATGTTAAGATAATGATTATGCCTGAGAAGTAAAATTAAAAGGTACATTATACCTGAGAAGTAAAATTAAAAGGCACATTATGCCTGAGAAGTAAAATTAAAAGGCACATTATGCCTGAGAAGTAAAATTAAAAGGTACATTATGCCTGAGAAGTAAAATTAAAAGGCACATTATACCCGAGAAGTAAAATTAAAAGGCACATTATTCCTTAGAAGTAATATTAAAAGGCACATTATGCCTGAGAAGTAAAATTAAAAGGCACATTATGCCTGAGAAGTAAAATTAAAAGGCACATTATGCCTGAGAAGTCAAATTAAAAGGCACATCATGCTTGAGAAGTAAAATTAAAAGGCACATTATGCCTGAGAAGTCAAATTAAAAGGCACATTATGCCTGAGAAGTAAAATTAAAAGGCGCATTATGCCTGAGAAGTAAAATTAAAAGGCACATTATGCCTGAGAAATGAATAAATTTTTACTTCTTAAGAAAGGGCAAACATGAATTTTATAATGTTAAGATAATGATTATGCCTGAGAAGTAAAATTAAAAGGTACATTATACCTGAGAAGTAAAATTAAAAGGCACATTATGCCTGAGAAGTAAAATTAAAAGGCACATTATGTCTGAGAAGTAAAATTAAAAGGTACATTATGCCTGAGAAGTAAAATTAAAAGGCACATTATACCTGAGAAGTAAAATTAAAAGGCACATTATGCCTGAGAAGTAAAATTAAAAGGCACATTATGCCTGAGAAGTAAAATTAAAAGGCACATTATGCCTGAGAAGTAAAATTAAAAGGCACATTATGCCTGAGAAGTAAAATTAAAGGCACATCATATGCCTGAGAAGTAAAATTAAAAGGCACATTATGCCTGAGAAGTAAAATTAAAAGGCACATTATGCCTGAGAAGTAAAATAAAAAGGCACATTATACCCGAGAAGTAAAATTAAAAGGCACATTATTCCTAAGAAGTAATATTAAAAGGCACATTATGCCTGAGAAGTAAAATTAAAAGGCACATTATGCCTGAGAAGTAAAATTAAAAGGCACATTATGCCTGAGAAGTAAAATTAAAAGGCACATTATACCCGAGAAGTAAAATCAAAAGGCACATTATGCCTGAGAAGTAAAATTAAAAGGCACATTATGACTGAGAAATGAATAAATTTTTACTTCTTAAGAAAGGGCAAACATGAATTTTATAATGTTAAGATAATGATTTAAGAGAGTGTTAGATGCTTGTTACCTTACGAAAGTTGCGATAAATGTGAAATAATTTGTCATTTAAGTAGCTAGTCAAAATATATTTACCTGCCAAAGCTAGATTCTGAGATATGTTTGTTCCGGTTCAGTATTGTCCATACTTAAAATAGCACAATATCTCATTGTGTAGTACAATTAGTTGGACTAAAAAGTAGCAATATGTGAACATAGTAGTATTTTGACTTCCATACAGAATACTAATTCCGTATAACTGTATTTTTTGCTAAAAATTAACAGATAAAAAAGATGGTTCTGGTACTTGGCCAGTGAGTAACTTTTTGGATACTAAAAGATTAATCAAAATTAAAATGCTTTTGAGAAATAAAAATAAAAGCATTTCTGAGGCATAATGGGCCAGGTGAAAACATTTTATTTTTTGGACTGCTTTTGGGATTTTTTTTTAATTGGGAAAAAAATAGGCTATTATGGATTGGACATGGGCCCATATGTCAACACCTTGTGATAGGGTGAAAATGCCCTGAGGGTGTAGTTATTTTTGGTTATTTTGTGTATTATTCACAGGTCAAGTCTATCCAAGTGTTCATTAATATACCAAGATATTAGACTTATACTAGTTGGGCACCACCAATACTGAAGAATTGTAAAACCATTATAATAGTCAATTTTTTAAAGATAAAATTTTGAATATTTAAATTTAAGCTACACTTAATTGACAATGGAAAAATGGGTATAATTTTAATGTCACTTTAATTTATTATAAGACAGTTTAAAATTATTGTGATTTCTGTTTATTAGATATTGATATTTAATATTACATGTATCTCTTATAATCTCTAACACATGGATATACATATGATATAGAATAACAATAGAGTTAATTCATGATGATATACTATAATTGTATCATGATTAAATGTTGAAGATAAATTTATTATCAGTCATTATGAAGTCATACATAGTAAACATGCTTTATTCCTGGTGTTTATCAATAAAACAATGATTTAATAGCTTTGATCTAGGACTGATAAAAACTAACAATACATGTTGTATTTATAAGTTGATGATTTATCATATTGATAATTTTCATTTACACTCATTATACTGATTAAGATTTAAAGCAGGACTTGACCATTACACAAACTTGATTTTATATGTGATATGAATTTCATTATAAAGTTGTTCTGTCCAAATGCATAAAGTACCAGTAACTGATAAAGCATGCTCTTTTGCTAATCAGCTTTATTATTTTTTTTTTAATGAAAATTGTTGAGAATGTTGACTATATAATATTACTATGTTTTTATGATAATGTTTGTTCTCTTTTCCTCCCAGGTGTAAACTGCACAGTTTGAGAAAGTGGAAGAGAACTAATACTCGTTGATGATTAAACTTTAAAGTGAAAGAGACCAATCTTTTTAGAATGGAACATTTGTGCTGGTTTAAAACAGAAAGATGATTTTGTCAAAGTTGTTACTATTGGTAAGTTTCTGTCTTCTGTAAGGTTTAAATCTTTGAAAGGGTTGAAATTATATATAAAAACAAACACATATTTTTGTCCACTGTAAAAGATTACTGAATTAGCTTAAGACGGAAATAAGCCACATGCCAGATTGTTTTTTATTTATGATTATAAACACAGTGATATTCTAGCCAGGATTTCTCAATGGAGTGATTCAGTGCCCATAGTTATGACTGTTAATGAAATGCCAAACTCTTTTGCGTTCACAATCTCCTAATGAAAATCAGATACAGGTCGCAAACTTTTAAAATTTTATTCTCAAAGTAATTACGTATTTGTTAAATTTCAAGAATAAAAGCTTAATTTTAAATAATTTTAAATACTAATATCTAAAACTATTAATAAATAGTAAGCATCAGATTTTATTGTTATTTGTAGCTAATAATTTTGTTCAAGATAGTAGACTATCTAAGAAAGATTGACCTATGAAAAAGTTCATCTTGAAAGTTGCAAGGGGGATACTGGTATACCGGCCGTCACCCCTCACTTCCGAATAGGGATAGGGGGCCATCTAACTGTAAACAGAACAAAAGAGAACAATAGAGTTCAATTCATAACAATAGAGTAAGGGGCAAGTTTTGACTAAAAAAAGCTTGTCTGCCCAATAACTTAAGATACCTTTTACCCTCGCCTTCATATTTTGCATGAAGGTTAGTCATGATAAGTAGATGATCCCTATTGACTTTGAGGTCACTGGGTTAAAGGTCAAGGTCACAGGGGCCTTTAAAAAAGCTTGTCCGCCCAATATCTTAAGATTCCTTAGACCCACAGTCTTCATATTTGGCATGGAGGTTAGCCATGATCAGTACATGACCCCTATTGATTTTGAGGTCAAAAGTCAAGGTCACGAGTCTTGACTAATAAAAGCTTGTCCGGCCAATAACTTAAGATACCTTTTACCCACAGTCTTCATATTTAGCATAGAGAGTTAATAAGTAGATGACCCCTATTGACTTTGAGGTCACTGGCTCAAAGGTCAAGGTCACACGGGCCTTGACTAAAAAAGTTTGTCCACCCAATAACTTAAAAGACCGTTGACCCACAGTCTTCATATTTGGCATGGAGATGGATCATGACCATTAGGTGATCCCATTTGATTTTGAAGTTACTGGGTCAAAAGTCAAGGTCACATGGATCTTGACTAAAAAAGCTTGTCTGCTCAATTGCTTAAGAATGCTTTGGTCAACATATTTGGTATTGAGGTTGTTTATGACTAGTAGCTAACCGCTATTGATTTTAAGGTGACTGTGTCAATGGTCAAGGTCACAGGGATCTTAACTATAATAAGCTTGTCTGCTCAAATGGTTAAGAATGCCTGTCCACAGTGTATTGATTTTGACATTTTCACATTTGAAGGATGTAGAATTTATAACTTAGCAATGAACTGGCTTAGTAACCTCAGATTTGGCAGGGAGGTGTCCTTGAGCTCTAAATGGCCACTGTTGATTCTGACAAAGTGGTATGCGGGAGTATCACACCAAGACAATGGCAGTTCTAGTTCAGATAGATTTGATATTTTATATTATTTGAATAACAATAGATATTAAATTTACTGATTTAGCAATGACATTAATATGCAGCACTTAAACAATACAAAACACCCTACTATATTACACTATACTATATGTACATTGTACTTGGATGCCCGCTTCTGTCTGAAATAATGCACAGAAAGGCACCTGAGGTCTTACTCCACAATTAAAGGTGGAAAGTCACCATATGACCTTTACTGTATATAACCCAATAAAAAAAATATGTACCATGATCTACAACATTGAAAAGCCATACAAAAGGAATGGTTTGAAATTGAGGACTTTAGTCTTGCTTAATGATTCAATTCTATATTTGTGAAAATATGTATGGTACTAGTATCTACTAGCATATGAGTCATATCTTTCATAGTAATTGATAAGTAAGCGAGACTGATAACTATATATTGATAACTACATATTACTGTTTCATTATCAAACAATGTACGGTAAGTTAATTTTAACCATTAAAAATAAACAGTAAAATTTTTAATATTTATCCATAATTATAATAAGGTATTATTTACCATAAAACTTTTAACAACAATACCTTCCTTTTTAGCTCGACTATTCGAAGAATATGAGAGCTATTGTAGTCGCCCCGGCGTTGGCGTCAGCGTCCGCGTCGGCGTCTGCGTTGGTTAAAGTTTTTTGTAAAGTCAAATATGTCAATTATTACTTGAGATATTCAATTGAAACTTACAATACTTATTTATAGTAACAAGGTACATCAGATTGACAAGTTGGATAACTCTGCCTACAATATTGACAGAATTATGCCCCTTTTTAACTTAGAAATTTTGGTTAAAGTTTTTTGTAAAGTCAAATATCTCAATTATTGCTTGAGATATTCAATTGAAACTTACAATACTAATTTATAGTAACAAGGTACATCACATTGACAAGTTGGATAACTCTGCCTACAATATTGACAGAATTATGCCCCTTTTAACTTAGAAATTTTGGTTAAAGTTTTTTGTAAAGTCAAATATCTCAATTATTGCTTGAGATATTCAATTGAAACTTACAATACTTATTTATAGTAACAAGGTACATCAGATTGACAAGTTGGATAACTCTACCTACAATATTGATAGAATTATGCCCCTTTTTAACTTAGAAATTTTGGTTTAAGTTTTTTTGTAAAGTCAAATATCTCAATTATTGCTTGAGATATTCAATTGAAATTTAAAATACTTTTTTATAGTAACAATGTACATCAGTTTGCTAAATTGCATAACTCTGCCTGCAATATTTGCAGAATTATTTGCCCCTTTGAAACGTAGAAATTTTAAAGGTCTTCAGATATTAACTTGAAACTTTACACATGCACTTAGGGTTATAATTGGAGGGTCATAATTGTATGTCACTGACCAAGTTTCATAACTTTATCTTGCATTAAGACTGATTCATATCCCCTTTTCTACTTAGTCTCTTGGTTAATGTTTACATGCAAGTTTTACATATCTCAATAACTATTAAAGATATTTATTTAAAACTTCACATATGCATTTAGGGTCATAATTGTAGGTCACTGACAAAGATCCATAATTCTATCTTGCATTTAGGCTGATTTTTCTCCCCTTTTTCAACTTAGAAATTCATGGTAAAGTTTTGCTTGTAAGCTGTTATCTGAAGGGTTTGTGCCTTTTTTGGGACAATTTTATGCATTCATAATAATAAAGCAGTGATTTACTTGATAAAACATCTTAATAACAAGCCTTTGTACCTTTTCTGTCAAATTTATGTATTCATAAGTAATTAGTATTATTATACTCAATAAAACACCCTTGTGACATTACCTTCCGAATAGTCAAGCCAATACTGTATAATTAGACTCTCTCTAAGGCCTATAACATGAATTTATAAAAAAAATTAGCCCTTTTGTCAACTTAAAAAAATTAACATTATCAAGGCTCTTTTACTATCAAACACTTAGAATAGTCGAGCGTGCTGTCCTACCGACAGCTCTTGTTAACGAGTAAAATTATCTTCATTCACAGTTTTCAAACTGTATATAGCTATAATTATATGATTTTATTTGATCTGTAATCAATGGTTACTTTCAAACAGCAATACCTTTTTGCATGAAATGTGTATCATTTAAGCATAGCTAAAAGTTTTGCTTTCTACATCATAGAACATCATAATGATATAATGATACTAGTAATAGATGAAGTTATGTCTATTTTTTTACCTGCATGTTGATTACTCATGAAGTACCTTTTTGTATTTTATTTAAAATTATATCAGATAAGTGATTAAATTATTAAAAGAATTTAAGGGGATTACATACTGAATATTAGGAAATTTACGCATGTATGTAATTAATACCTACTTTATTTCTTAAGCAACGTATTTCATAAGTTGCTAAAAGTGAAAATCTTGTAGATGTTGAATGTGATACTAAATGTAGTAATTCTGTGTTTTTATATTTCATGTTATTATTTCCAGGTGACATGCTGCCTTCTACCAATACACTTGGATTCTTTTGACCCATATGATTGTAGTTTCTATTTTTGCCAACCGCATGGTTCTTATTGGTGGAAACAGCATGCAAGCTTCTGCTTCCGTTGTTCACCGGACAGAATCTACCACTGTGCTCGAGATTATGATAATCCTGAGATCTTCAAAGAAGGATGCGCTATTGAAAAAAATTGTTTAGCAGGTAAATTTTTATCTCTAAATTTTAGTCTAAAAGCTTCATGTAGACAAATATTTACAATAGATTCTGTTAATGAAAGGAATTTGCTTTTATATTAAATACACATAGTTTAACAGTTTTGAGCCGATATAAAATATTTATTATATGCTTTTCAGTGGATTACTGATTTATCCGTGAAAATTATATTTGATAATTTCACAGTGAAAATTATCAAAATATAATTTCACTTTTTTCAATGACGAAACTACTTTTTGTGTCGCCTCTACGGAGTAGTGGCGACATATAGGGATCACTTCTCCGTCGTCTGTCTGTCCGTCTGTCTGTCCGTCACAAAACTTGTCCGGACTACTCCTCATAAACTACTGGTGCAATTTCATCCAAACTTTACAGGAATGATCCGTACCAAGTCTAGTTGTGCATATTGTCAGCATTTTCCGGTTCAATGATTTTTGGCAGAGTTATGGCCCTTTAATAGTTTTTAATTTTAAAGTTTGTCCAGACTACTTCTCTTATACCACTAAAGCAATTTCAATGAAACTTTACAGGATTGATCTGTAGCTCAAGTCCTTGCGCATATTGCAAGGGTTTTCTGGTTGAATGATTTTTGGCTGAGTTATGGCCCTTTGATTAAAAAGGTGTATTTTTCTGTATGTTGCCAGATACACAAAAGCTTGTCCGGACTACTCCTCATAAACTACTGGTGCAATTTCATCCAAACTTTACAGGAATGATCAGTACCAAGTCTAGTTGTGCATATTATCAGCATTTTCCGGTTCAATGATTTTTGTCAGAGTTATGGCCCTTTAATAATTTTTAGCTCACCTGTCACAAAGTGACAGGGTGAGCTTTTGTGATCGCTTTTCGTCCGGCGTCCGTCCGTCCGTCGTCCGTCTGTCCGTCCGTAAACTTTTGCTTTAAATGACATCTCCTCATAAACCACTAAGCCAATTTCATCCAAACTTCACAGGAATGTTCCTTTGGTGGTCACCTTTAAAAATTGTTCAAAGAATTTAATTCCATGCAGAACTCTGGTTGCCATGGCAACCAAAAGAAAAAACTTTAAATATCTTCTTTTAAAAAACCATAAGAGCTAGAGCTTAGATATTTGGCATGAAACATCTTCTAGTGAGTGTCTACAAAGTTTGTTCAAATAAAATCCCTGGGGCCAAAATTGGCCCTGCCCGGGGGGGGGGAGGGGAGGGGTCATTGATTTTCCCTATATGCATATTGTAAAAACTTAAAAAATCTTCTCTTAAAGAACCCAAAGAGCTAGAGCTAAGATATTTAGCATGAAACATGTTCTAATGGGTGTCTACCAAGTTTGATCAAATAAAAGTCCTGGGGTCAAAATTGGCCCCGCCCCTGGGGGTCATTGATTTTCTCTATATGCATATTGCAAAAACTTAAACAATCTTCTTTTAAAGAACCGTAAGAGCTAGAGCTTAGATATTTGGCATGAAACATCTTCTAGTGAATGTCTACCAAGTTTGTTCAAAAAAGCCCTGGGGTCAAAATTGGCCCCGCCCCGGGGGTCATTGATTTTCCCTATATGCGTATAGTAAAAACTTAAAAAACTTCTTTTAATGAACCATAAGAGCTAAAGCTTAGATATTTGGCATGAAACATCTTCTAGTGAATGTCTACCAAGTTTGTTCAAATAAAAGCCCTGGGGTCAAAATTGACCCCGCCCCAGGGCGTCATAGATTTTCCCAATTTGCATATAGTAAAAACTTAAAAAATCTTCTTTTAAAGGACCCAAAGAGCTAGAGCTAAGATATTTAGCATGAAACATCTTCTAATAAGTGTCTACCAAGTTTGTTCAAATAAAAGCCCTGGGGTCAAAATTGGCCCTGCCCCAGGGGGTCATTGATTTTCCCTATATGCATATAGTAAAAACTTAAAAAATCTTCTTTTAAAGAACTCAAAGAGCTAGAGCTAAGATATTTAGCATGAAACATGTTCTAATGGGTGTCTACCAAGTATGTTCAAATAAAAGCCCTGGGGTCCAAACTGGCCCCGCCCGGGGTGGGGTCATTGATTTTCCTTATATGTGTATAGCAAAACTTAAAAATCTTCTTTGGAAAAACTCAAATAGCTAGAGTTTAGATATTAAGCATGAAACATCTTTAAGTAAATATCTACAAAGTTTGTTAAAATAAACGCCCGGGGGTCAAAACTGGCCCTGCCCCAGGGGTGTCATTGTTTTTAACTATATGTGTATAGTAAAAACTTTAAAAATCTTCTTTTAAAAAAGCCAATGAGCTAGAACTTAGATGTTTAGCATGAAACATCTTCTTATGGGTGTCTACCAAGTCTGTTCAAATAAACAAATAAAAGCCCTTGGGTAAAAACTGGCCCGGGGGTGGGGGGCCTATATACAGGTGAACGACCTCAGGGCCATCATGGCCCTCTTGTTATTTTTAAAGTTTGTCAGGACTACTTCTCTTATACCACTAAAGCAATTTCAATGAAACTTTACAGGATTGATCTGTAGCTCAAGTCCTTGCGCATATTGCAAGGGTTTTCCGGTTGAATGATTTTTGGCCGAGTTATGGCCCTTTGTTAAAAAGGTGTTTTTTCTGTGTGTTGCCAGATACACAAAAGCTTGTCCGGACTACTCCTCATAAACTACTGGTGCAATTTTATCCAAACTTTACAGGAATGATCAGTACCAAGTCTATTTGTGCACTGTTCGTCTGTCTGTCCGTCTGTCACAAACTTTGTCCCAACATGAAATTGGCCATCATGAGGCGACACATGTGATTACTGATCGCTCTTGTTTAAAATTTTCCCCATGTGGTACCTCAATTATATTTTTACTGACAATTCTGACAATGTCAGGCTGTTAAAAAAAATAGCAAAGCTGAAATAGATAAATAACTTGAATGTCAAAAGTAATAAAGAGAGAAAACTTACTTCTATTCCTTCAAATTCCAATTACCAAATTTCGTCTCTAATTTTTTTTGTTTGTTTTTGCAGTCTGAAAAATACATTCCTTCCCCATGCAAAACTGCTCTTGATGACATTTGGGCATATTAAAGTATCCTACGAGCAATAACTGCCATATGCTTTATGAAAAATTGAAAAGCATTGACAGCCATCACTCGTAAAATAAGTAAAACAACCCAGCGTTCCTTCATGTCCTTAGCAAGCTTCCAAGTTTTCCATTTTCCTAGCTCTTTTTCTGAATGTTTTCACATCTGTCAACACTTATTTTTTGTCTGTTACAATCCTCAAATAAGTTTTCTTTCTTTTAAAAAGGTGTATGACTAACAAATCCAAATTATATCCTTCTGAATCTTACACAATTATTTTCCTCCCATGAAATATACAACTTTAAAAAATGGCTGCCGCTTACATTTTACAAAGCCAGGTCTAATATAAATTCGCAGTAAGTAACAGAAGGATTCAGAGTCAACTCGTCCCCTGGTCAACTCGTCCTCTGGTCAACTCGTCACCTTTTTAGTCAACTCGTCCCATAGACAACTTGTCCCCTGGTCAACTCGTCCCCAACTCGTCCCCTATATTTTATTATTGTTTGTTATTCATATATTTCATAAATTATTATAGACTGTTAAAATAATATAGTATATATATGCATAATTCTGATTAAATTACATACAGAAAAAAAACATGAAGACGATCAATAGCAGTAGTAATAACATTTAATGTATAAAAACATGTTTCATATGCAATGATAAAATATCATATGGCCGCCGCCACGAGAAAAGGGGCACTCGGGCAATTTTTATCGATTTTTAGTTTTATGGCTAATATTTTAGGACATGCATTATTGTGCACGATGCACTTTATTTCACATTGATATTGCAAATACTTTTTGAGATAAAGAGGTTTAAAAGAGGACATTAATGCAACGTCAACGACAGATTTACGTAACGTCATAATAATTATGACGACGTCAAATGTAGTTTATCAGATAACAAATGAAGTCAAGTGTTTCAAAAGTTTTAATTTTGCACTTACTAGAATAATACTAAAATATATAAAAGTAAGATATTAAAATATAATTTAAAAACTATTTTATAACACTATTTTCAAAATTATCGTATTCTTGAATAAAACATGTAAAACAATTACATGCTAAAATTATAAGACTTGGCCCTAATAATGTTAAAAGCAAAACTTTAATTATAAAAAATGGTAACAACTGAACTTGAAAACAATAACAAAAGTCATCAGTCAGTCTGTATGCATGCAGCGTGAATCACTCTTCAGTGTATGGCGGGCACGTGGCATCTTGGTATGCAGGACGCACATATTTTCCAACGTTACGGTATAAATATTCGCGCCGTGTACAACTTAATCCTGCGGGCTGTATGACCTCGGGAAAGGTTGTTGTTAGAACTTCAGTATTACGTCTTATCAGCGGAACTCTAATCTCCTCTCTCTCTGTTCTTTCCTTTACAAACACAGCTGACTTGTCTGCAGCAGAAAATCTGAAGCAGTGATATTTCTGTATGCCTTTCACTTGTAGGAAATATCGCGTCAAATACGACTTCCAGTCATACCTGTGTTAAAATAATGTTATTTTATTAAATGCAGTTAATAATGTATATAACGTATATTCTTATTGAAAAATATACCATCTTTGTGAAAAAAGATTTTAGGCATTGCATTTCTTTTCTTCTGTTGCATTTAAAATAAATTTTTGTTTGTTGCTACTATATGTGTATTGCTAGCGATCGGCGTGGCTGTGATAGTGATCATCATTATTATACAAGCTTGTTATAATGTTTAAGCCTACATTATATTATTAACTAGTTATCGAAAAAAAAATTAAACTCTGTAGAAAATTAATTACCATTTCCATGTTTGATCATTGTTTTCATTTCGATATAAAACGGAAATTGTTCCTTGCCGATTTATCCACAATGTCTGCAAATTGACTCAGACTCTCGCAATCAGACCTCTTGAATAGTTTTTTATTCGCCCAAAGCCACCATCGACAACACACCTTAGATAAAAATAAAGTACAAGAATTA